GTCTAACATACTTCGGACATATTGTGAGGAGAGACCAGTCCTTGGAGAGGGACATCATGCTAGGGAGGGTGTAGGGACAGTGCAGGAGGGGAAGACCCTCTATGAGGTGGATTGATTCAGTGACTGGAGTAATCAGGGTGGGGGTGTCAGAGACAGTGAGATTGGCACAGGATAGAGCAGGGTTTAGGGCTGTTGTACATAGGGTCACTGTGAGTAACAGACTACTCGACAGCACATAACAACAACAAGGTGATTTAGATGTAAGAATTGGGCATAAATTGAGATAGTTTATTCTAAGTGAAATTGCTGAAACTAGGGTATGACTTGATTGTTGTCATTGCTGTGTACCATCAGGTCAGAACCAACCCATAGCTGACCTTCCAGCAGTTGTTTAGAGGCAGTAAATCGCATGGGACGAGAATGACCATCCTCCACCCACAGATCTGCTGGTGGATTTTAACCATGAGCCTTTGGGATTGCAGCACAATTTCTTACCACTAGGCTTCCAGAGCTTTCTAGACTGTTAGTATTGTACTCAGCAAGCCTTAGGGCAATATTAGAGAAAGTATTAACCACCTTAGAGATACCAACAAACACCAGTATATTAATTATATCTCACAGTGAACAACGTTAAAGTATTTAAAACAAACATTGAAAACCCATCCTCTTCTACATGAACTGGCCAAGTTAAAGCTATACCTTCACATATAACAGATGTTGAGAATCTTTAGTTACTAATGTCATAACATACAGACTAGCATTTACTAGAAGTCCAGTTGGGAATATTTATTTTGAAACAGATTTAGAAAATAAATAATTTCTAAAAGACACAGAGAACATGATGGAATCACACATTTTATATCATGACATACTCTGGAATCCCCCTTGCTTTCCATTTTCATGTGTCTCATTTTTTCAAACAACTCTCTTGTTGTATCCAAATTATTGAGAAACATTGATGTCAATTTGAAGACTAAGGTTTGCCTGGTTCAGGCCATTGTCTTTTCGGTTACTTGCTATGCATCTGAGAGCTGAACAATGAGAATGAATGACAGAGGAAAAATTTATTTCTTTGAATTGTGTTGTTGAAAAGAAGTGGATATCCCATGGACTACCAGAAGAACAGATATGCCTTGGAAAAGGTACAGAAAGAATGCTTCTGAAGGCAAAGATGATAAAGCTTCACCTCATATACATTGGGCATGCTACTGGGAGAGGCATGTTGCTTTGAAAGGTAGAGGGACGGTGAACTAAAGAAGACCCCTAATGAGTTGAACTGACACTGTAAATGCAGCAATGGACTTCAGTGTGTCAGAGATTGTGAGGATGGTACAGGATAAGACAGGGTTCAGATCTGTTTTGCCTTCCGACCTACCTACTTTTAACTTTAAGGCTTTAAACCAGGGTTTAAAAGTACCCTTAGTTCTGACAATTGTGGTATGTCCCTCACGCCAACCCCTAGTCCTCCAGTAAACTTGAGTGAAACACCCAGCTCAGGCTGACTCAGTGGAGTAGCAGGTCCTGATCAGCTGTTTCACAACAGTAACTGGTTCTCTGCTGTTTGTACTGGTAGGTTCTGGTCTGAGTTGTGCAGGAATCTCTAGTACAAATAAATGTGCATAGGACTCCTTGATTTGTCTCTCTTAATTATAGTAAGATTCCCATCTTTTGCTTCTAAATTTGCTCAATTTAAACTTGGTGGGGTGGCAACTAAACTAATCATTAGGAGTCTATACATATTATTTGCATGTTCCCACCCACCATATAGTGAAAGTCAAAGACAATGGACTACAAAAGCCATTTTGAACAAAAAATAAACCTAGTATACCATGAAAGGATGTTGATTTGTGCTTTATTAAATATGCAAAGTCATTTGACTGTGTGGATCGCAACAAATTGTGGCTAACCTTGAGAGAAATGGGAATTCCAGAACACTTGATTGTGTTCAAGTGAAACCTACACTTACACCAGGAAGTAGTTATACAAATAGAACAAAGACACTATATCATTCAAAAACCAAGGATGCATCCTTTCTCCATACTTTTTCAATCTGTATGCAGGACAGATCATTTGGGAGGCTGGTCTTTATGAGAAGTGTGGCATCAGGATTGGAAGAAAACTCATCAACAATCTGAATTGTGTATATAACAAAATCTTGCTTGCTCAAACTGAGAAGGACTGAAAGCATTTGCTGCAGATTGTCAAAGACTGCAGTCTTCAGTATGGCTTGCAGCTTAACATTAAGAAAATAGTCTCACCCTAGGTCAAACAGCAGTGATAGATAGGCATCATGATAGATGGAGAAGTTACAGTTAACAATTTCAGCTTGCTCAGCTCCACAAATAACACTTTTGGCTCTAGCACTCACGAAATTAAAAGACAAGCTGCAATGGGAATGTCAGCTTTCAGGGAGCTGTTCAGAGTGCTGAAGAACAACAGTGTCTGTCTAGAGACTAAGGTGTGCCTGCCTGATCCAGGCCATGGTCTTTGCAATGACTTGCTATGTATTAGAGAGCTGGACAATGACTAAGGATGACAGAAAAAGAATCAGTGCTTTTGAGCTGTGGTGCTGGAGAAGAGTTTTGAACATACCATAAACTGCTAAGAGAACAAATGGGTCTGTGGTGGAAAGTGTAAAACCAGGTTGTTTCTTGGAGGCAAGGATTTTGAAACTCTCATCTATTTTGGGCATGTTGCTAGGAGGGACAAGTCCTTGGGAAAGGACTTCATGCTTGGAAGGGTGGAGGGTGAGTGTAGGAGAGGAAAACCCTGGATAAGACGCACAGAAATAGTGAATGTGGTTCAGAGACTGTAAGATTGGCTCAGGACAGGGCACGGTTCAGAGCTATTATTCACAGGGTCACTATGAGTCATAGTGGCAACTATGTCATGACAACTATGACATACCACACCTGTTCTCTCCAAAATAGAATCTGTGAATCCATTTTTGCAGTGATTCTTGATCCTGTTAGCACACCACCACAGACTATTATGTTTTGAGTATTAATGAACTGGTCCCTTTAAGTTCATATTCTCTTTTCTAGAGAGGTTGGGGGATCACTTAGAACATGCAGCTTTGAAAAATGATCATTCTTTCTATAGCAGTCTCTCTAGTTTGCGGGCAAATGAGAACACGCGCCCAAATAAAATATCTCCATTTTCTATCTCCATTTAGTAGTTTCCACTTAAAAACTGTAAACAGATGGTCACACGTCATATCATTAATCTTCTGGCCAGGGCTATGGCAAGTGCAATCATTCCTATTTTGTTCCTATAAAGAGAGGAACATTGACAGATTAACTGATGCATTCACAGAAATCTAGAGTCCTGAATGGTAAAGTAGGGATTCAGCTTGCCTGTCTCATCCATCCTGGTTCATCAGACGAGAGATGCATTTTAAGGTGTGATGGAAAGCATAGGGAGGTACTGTAATTATGCAACATTAATCTCAGCACTTCAAGTCTTTGGAGGTAATGGCCCATGTAAATTTAATTAGTATGTAGAGAACATCAATTTTCTCACACAAAGGAAGAAAGAAAATTCTCTAACATCCTGCATTCTTAAATCTGTGTCAGTTGCTTTGAGGACCAGCTCTTCGGAAAACTCTATCTTGAATTTTCCATTACCTCCACCAGTCACAGTCATTAATTATTTTTAGATCTGTCAGTGGCATCTAATCTCCCCAAGTCCCAAGGATTTTGAACCTACACTTGAAGTGCCACCCAAGATATTTTCAAAGTGTCAGCATTTTGATCAAAGCAAAATTATTTTCTCTCTAAAATAACCATTCCCAAGAGGAAAGTATAGGAAGACGTGGGAGTGGATAGATAACACCTATTTAATGCCTAAAAGTGATCATTAGATCCAAAATAAGCCCAGATAATTGTCAGGGTCCAGCCTTTAGCTAGAGGGCTAGACACTTCTAGATCAATAGTAGCCTGTGTTATGCCTTGATAACAAAACCTTTCTCGTAGAACGTGAGGACTTGGAATGCTTGCTACAAAAGATCAAAGACCACAGCTTCAATATAGCTTACATTTCATTATCAAGAAAACAAAAATCCTCACCACTGGACAGATAAACAACATCATGATAGATGGGGAAAAAATGGAAATTGTCATAATTTTAT